GTTGTTTAGAAGCACTTCGTACAATTACGGCACTTCGGCATAAAATTTATGTGCACTTAATCACTGGGAAATGGCTGTGATTAGCAGTCCTGGGTTGGACCCATTACATGTATTCTGAACATCAATTTCTTCAAGTAATTTCCCTGTTGCTGCATTTTATCTGAAACCTAAATTTCCACTGCAGACACCACCTACGTTAAATGTCACAATTATTCTCGTCACATCTCATTCAACAGCAACTTTGACGTTGGTGCATTTATCTACCATTTAATTAATTCTACCCAGTTTTTCTACTTAAATCTCACCTACCACAAGTTCTGGCTGAAACTTCGGTTACCTTGTTTCAATTATTACTTCGTCGCGTATAGCATTCCCGTAATTTATTTTATATTTTATTGACCAACATTGAGGGAATCCTTGAAACGGACCCAGAAGCTAGGTTCAAAATTTTAGGTGAAGTTGAGGCAACAGGAAATCACTGCTGTATTCTGCAATAACCATTTACCTTACTAAAACACCCATATTATATGATTGATTTTTATACCCATATTCTCAAAGAAGTTAGCAACCATGCTAATCCCGCCCTCATATCTAACTCAGTTATTTTCAAAAATTACCTAATTTCTTTCAGTATGTTCATCAAACCACTTTTCTATTTTATTTGACATCCAATTAATCAATCCTCCTTTCTTTTACATACACAAACTGCGGCAATACGGCTCCGCTTATTAACGCAACTTTCCGCCTCTTCAGCCCCTGGAGTGACTTACTTTTTCCCAGACGTCTCCAGTGCAGTTTGCAAAATTTAAAAATTTGTGTACAATGTACGTAGTTATTTACTCCACATTACTTAAGACTCCGCATATCTCATTCGCCACCAGGTTATCACTGACGCTGCTCACCATTCCCTCCGATCCCATAAACTGTTCGTGCATTAACACAGAAACTGCACCGCTATCATAAAACGACTAAGGAGCAATTTGTTGAGCAAATAGCAGTGCACTCAGCAAACTGATCTTCTAACAGCCGGCAGTTCTGGTCATTTTCTATAGCGTTATCTCGTATTTGCAGTGCCATCAATTGCACAATCATTGCCGACCAATCTGGTGATTAAGTGAACAATCCGCTAGAAAAGGCCGAAGTTTATGCCTCTCGAGTTTCTGCAAACTCTATTCCATATGATCAATCTATCCTATACTGTCGTATACTCTACGGCAGAACTTCTTTTCAAACGACTCATTCATCATAGAGATACGTTAAATAATCTTATCTATGGACCCACACAAACCATTGAATCCCGATGGGATTTCTTCCATAGTAATTGCACTTTCTATGTTAGTTATTCTGCCTATCTTTCAAATATGGAACATCCCTAACACCCTAGAAAACACTTCAAATGTTTTCCATCTATAAATGCAATGAGGACTTATGCATCAATTAACATTGCCTCTCTCTTACACTAATTATCTCATGGGTTATGGAATCAATCTTTTTGTTATCAACTTCCAGTTCACTTGGAGCATAAAAAGCTACTTAGTAATAGTCAGTGTCGTTTCCGATTCCGTAAAACTAATGGTGATCTTTGGGTGCTCGTTTGGTTCACATGGCCTTTAGCACTCAATAACCGCGGAAACAATTCATGTGTTGTGGCTGAACATATCAAAAGCATTTGATCATGTCTAGCATGAAAATTTGCTACCTAGGCCATCAATTTTGACGGTGGTGGTGGTCAAGCAATAAAGGGCACCAAATTATCGCCCCTATGACTTGTATTCGAATCTCACCACCACTATCCGACTTGTACTTATGTCTCAGTGTTATACCACAGCTCTCTCATTGACTGTGGTCATCTTATCTAGATGTCGACGAGTTATCTCCAGAGCCGCACTATCTTCGTCGTTCTTCCACTTTTTCTTTCCGTACACAAGCGGTTAGTGATTTCTTCACAGGTTCCTCGCTTCCTAATGACAATCAGCTTTTCTTCGAAGAACAGGATAACTATGAAAAATTTCACCTTATAACCTGTCCTCTAACTTATAATAACCTTAACCTTAATCTTGGAAAAAACAAACTGATCCCAATTTAAATGTTTTCTTCAACCTTCCGTATACATCATATCCTTTGATCAGGAAATGCCATACCAGCTACAACCAAGTATGTGTAACAGAAAGGTACAATCTATAAATTAAACATGCCTAACAAACCCGTCTATTTTCCTGGACTTTCCCTCAATGTTTCGAAAACCGTAAAACAGTTTTAATATCAACGTCAATTTCTAGATTGTGACCAAATAAAGCTTAGCAGTATGACTTGGTATGCAACAGAGAGCTGTGAAAAATGAGTATCAAACCTAACAACTGAAGCCACTAGTTTGGGAAGGATTGCCTTGCTGTTGTTTTTCCAGAATAATCACAACCAGTTACAGTGAATCTTCACTTTAGTCATCGCTATGATTCGCAAAGTTAGAGTAAAGGAATTTGAACCCGCCTAATGCAATTCCTCCCGTTTATATCAAACACAAGACAAACGTATTTTACATTAAAATATCGGCCAAAACTAAATATTAACAATATTTTAAAACAATAAAATAAATTGGGAGGCGAATGTTTGGATTAGCCCATTCAGATTTTCCCGGGCACCAGGAACTGTTGATGATGTTGGGTGTGAGTTTCACTCCTTGGGAGATCGTATAGCTCAGGGTTAAGGGTTTGAAGTCCCGACCCGAACGTTCGCGGTTCAAGTCCTGACAGGGACACAAAACGTACGCACTGCTGATGAGTCCCAAACGGGGCGAAACAGCTGTCCAGAGTTCTTTGTCGGTAATCACAAATATTTCCAACGCGTTTAAACGAAAAATAAAATTCAGCATGTATCTCTACATTTAGGTTTTCAGCAGAGCGATGGATTTCCAAACACTGATCATGTGTGATCTTCCATGACCAGAAACCAAATGTTATTATCAATGAACTATAAATCAACTCAAAGATTTTTATTGGATCTTGTTTAGGCAGTAAGGGATGTTTTGTTTTTAACCTTATTTACTCTGATATTGGTATAATTATTAAATCAAAACCCTAAGTATTCAGAAGGCGTAATCCAACATCAACGATTCTTTCAAACTCCACCATCCTTTGGTGTTATTTTAGCTCCTTCAAATAATTGTAACTCTTCTAAAACATGTTGAATGTATAGCTGTATACTGGTAAAGAAAAATGAAGAGGTTTGATTCATTATGCTCTGTTTTTGCGGTTGCCTATCTTAATAGAATTAAAAGGCTATACTCATTTGTAAAACAAACAAACATTTTAGTAGTTTTTATATTTCAAATGAAGTTTATATGCAAATACTTGAAACTTTTGACGAAATGTCAAACTCTTGCTTCAAAATTGCTTTGTTCTTTACCATTCCATATGTACGGTCAACCTCTTTCAAATCTATGAAACATTTGGACTAAGAATATTACCAAGTGTTCTACTTATATGGGTGAAAATTAGCAGACATGATGCAAAGAACATGTAAAAAACAAATGCACAAACTTGTTCTACTCACCTGAATCTCGGACTACTTTCACTTCCGCATATTCGCATGACTCTGACACATCTTTTGTTTGGAGTTCAAAATGAAAGACTCCAGAATGGTCGTCATCTAGTACCATAACTGTTGCGACTTTAGGGTCAACTAGCACTGGTTCCACTGGGCTGCTTGAGCTCATGACCTTCAGGTTTGTTAACTCAATGGTGAAGTGTTCATCCTCTTCGAATATGTCATCGTCGATTATGGTGATAGGGACTTGTTTGTGTGTTTCACCACTTCTGAATATCAATGTTCCACTTGCCGGAACGTAGTCCTCTACTGCAACTGCCGTTCCATCAACTGTGTGATAGTCGACCGATACCACGGCGTTTATATCTCCACCAATTCTACTCACTGTAATGGGGAAGGTCCCTACATTTTCCATTACGGTGTAGTGCCCAGGGTTGAAGAAGAATCTTTGAACATGCGCTGGATAAGTTTCACCATCTAATTGTTGGTCTTCTGTTGACATTCTTCGTTCAACTTTGGATTTCTTTATGACATTTCCACTACCGGTTAATTGTCGTGTTGCTTGCATTCGATAGAAGGCCCTAGACTTTGGGCCTTTATTTAAAACTTCTAACTGCGCCATCTCCTCAAGCTGTTTCATGTCGATATTCGGATGTCTTTTTCTTATCTCCTTGATAGTTTCAACATAATCAAGTCGATGACGTTCAAATTCTGAAACATCGTTTTCCTCCAACTCAAGATTATAGGTTACTTCTTCTTTATGGTTTCCGAGTTCCAGTTCCTTGTCCGCTTTTTTTAAATACCCTGCTGCTTTATACCGTTTCTTCAGGAATTTCTTGAAAAATATCTTTGTGTCAGCCATGTAGGCACAAACCACGATTATTGGGAAGAATATAAACGTTATCAAAGCCTCCCACAATTCGACAACCCCAGGAGTAAATACCGCTAGTATAAGGTACATCCAAAGGTAAGCAAAGACGCTCCATGAAGCCGTTATTAAAAACACGCTCAGGTGTTTAATTCGACGCACTTGACCTTCAGGAACTACTAAAACGCATATCCCGATAATGACAAACAGATTGAATGCAGCAGAACCCACAATAGTTCCGGGACCAAGATCACCAGCTTCAAAGTTTTTACCACAAATCTCGATGACAGATAGAAGAATCTCGGGAGCGGAAGAACCGAGAGCCATCAAAGTCAAATTAGAAACCGTTTCATTCCATATTCTGACATAGATAACTTGAACTTCCCCGTTTTTCTTTTTTATTTTGACTTCTTTTTCTTGGGACGTTATGACTTCAATTGCAGCCATAAATCTGTCTGCAATGATGGAAACTCCCAAAAATAGATACACAAGACAGGCGAAGTACACAGTTGATCTGGCAGCCTTGTCCCCTGCGCTCAAACCATCAGAGGGCTCCCATTTCGGGATCAGTATACCATCCACACATTGCGTCTTCGTACTCGATGGACAAGTCCCATTGACAAGCTTCTCTCCGTTGCAGTGATGAAGAATATAAAATACAATAAAAATCGAACATGTTAGCAATCGATAATGCGTGAGTGCCATAATCATTTCACCAGTAGGAACAACGGAATTGTGTGCTGAAAGAAAAATATAATAATAGACCTTTTAAGAGAATAACTGATGCGCATAAATATATTTTGCTCTATTTGCTTCTTATGGAGAATCTGTGAATTCCTTTAAAAATTGGGACCTTGACACATTTATCAGACGTATAACGGAACGTAGACCTTTTTACTAAAAATCACAAAGATGAATATTTTGTCTATCAGTGATACAAGACTTCAATTCACTGAACTGTGGAATAAAATCAAGGAATATCCATTTCTTCATAATTTTAGTAAAAAATATCCCAATACTAATTGATTGAAACGCGTCCATCATCGATGTATTTTTATACTCTTGACAGCAAATTATATTCTTCTTCCTCAAAATGAACCCCAAATTGGAAAACTAATCCACAAAGGTACTTTAGGTGGGAAAAAGGCTTAAAAAGAGACTATAGGAGGATTACAGTGGGTAATATCAGCCGCATCACCATGGTCAAGCTCGTATCCATAGTAAAAGGCACGCGATCAAATTCAGCGATTGATATCAATTCCGGCGTACCTTCATTAGTATCGGAAATTTCGAAATGTTGCCTCGCCTGACCTTTGCAATCAACAACCTGATAATTATGTATTCAAACAAATTCAGTTCAGTTCAGTTCTTACATGACGAACTGTGGTTCTTACCACTCGCGCGTTCAGTTTCTTGTGTTGTCTGTGGTTTCGCTGGCTTCCAACACTTCGAGTCAATAGTTTTTTTGAAAGACAGAAGGTTCAGGTCAGGTCAGGTTAGGTTGCACAGGACTGGT